CTGGAGTCAGAAGAACTTGATTTCAAATCCGGCTTCAGACATGTACTAGCTGTGTGACCCTGGGCAAGTCACTTAACCCTGTTTGCCTCAGTTTCCTCATCTGTAAAATGAGCTGGAGAAGGAAATGGCAAACTATTCCAGTGTCTTTGCCAAGAAAACCTCAAATGGGTTTTCCCTGTTACCGCAGGGAATCAGTCATGACTGAAAAATTACTGAACAACACCACAGATATTAAATGCCTGAGACTGGATTTGAACTCAAGTCTTTCTACCTCCAGGTACAGCATTTTATCCACTATGCCATCAATTGCTTGCTAACAGTTGTAAGGATGAGGAAAGACTTTATATAGAAGGTAGAGCTTGGACTGAATTTTGAAGGAGACCAGGAATTCTAAGAGTCAGAGCTGAGATAGGAGTGAATTTCAATCATCAGGGACAGGCAGTCAGTGCTGTCCTACCTGAAGTATGGAGGTAAATGACTTGCTGCTGATCACATATCTAGAACACATCACTGGCAGTACTTGGACCCAGGTCTTCCTGATGCCAAGGCCAGCTCCTCTATCCACCAGAGCTATATCCCATCTTGTGGGAGGTACCTGTGGTACCTCCCATTTTACAGATGAGGAAATGGAGGCTTGGACAAGGAAAATGACTTGGCCGGTGAGTAAGTGCCAGAAGCAGGATTTGAACCGAGGCCTTCCTGACTTTAAGGCTGGTACTCTATCTGCCATGGCCCACTGATTTCATGATCACCCATATGACACTGTGCTAGGCATTGAGTCAATTAAAAAACAAAACCAAAAAAAAAAGAAGAAGATTTAGGTACTTTCCATTTACTTGGGAGGAAAAAAAAATCAGATTAAATCAGATTCTAATGGCCATCTAATCCAAGCCTATTGTGTCACAGAAGAGGAAAAACAATCACATTAGTAAGCATGCCAATGAGTGCCAGCTATTCACAAAGCCCTATGCCAGAGGAGTACACAGATGTGTAGTTTATAGTCCAGATGAGGGGCTGATAGGGCCACATGAAACAATTAGATAACGATGTCATATTGAATGACTGTAGGATTATAAGATTTAGCGTTGCAAGGGCCTTTAGGGATCACTAGTCTAACTTCTTTTTACAGGTGGAAAAACTGAGGCCCAGAAAAGCCGGGTGACTTCCTTGCCCAAGGTCACACAGGTAGTAAGTGTCCTCAGTCTCCAGATCCATCATCCTTTCTGCTACACCACAAAGCCTCTGCTCTGGTCGGGGAGCAGTGAGAGGTAAAGCTGGCTGGGTCAGGTGAGGTCAGAGTTCGGAGGGTCCTGAATGCTAGGCTGAGCTTGCATTTCGTCTTGCAGGTACTGGGGAGCGTGGGGGTGACATAAAGCCAGACAGACTGGGAGGGGAAACAAAAATAACCAAGGATCCTCAGTTCTTTATTGTCTTGGGCTGCATTCCTGGTTCTTCCCTACACCCTGCTCATTTGGCTACCTCCCATTGCTGGCTTAGGAAAAGCTGACATAAACTCAGGACTCCCTCCTGGGCCTTGTGCTAGGAGGGCACAGGTAAGTGACTGAAGCAAGTAGGAGTCTCACTCTGCACAGAGGTTATGGGAGAGAGCACGGTGTGGCAAGACCAACGGGCGGCCAACCAGGGGAGAAAAAGGAGGCTGCTGAAGGAAAACCGGAGGTACCTGCATTTCACAAGCTATGAGGGAGTCCAATGACCCACGAGAGGTTAGAGGCCTGGCTCTTCTACTTTAGACCTGCTCTATGACCTCTGGCTCAATCCTTCTCCTCCCTGATGTGGCAGAAGGTATAGATTTGGAGTCAGAGAACCTGGGTTCCCTGGGCATCCCATGACCTTGGGCAAATCACAGCCTCTCTGGGCCCGAGTTCTTGACTCTGTAAAATAAAGACATTAGACTTTATGTCTTCAAAGAACCTTTCCAGTTGTAGATCTATGATCCCATGTTTCTCCCACTGGATTTTCCCAGAGACTTCCAGGGGGCAGGGACTGTGTCTCCCCCACTCAGCCAGGATCGCTTTGAGGGTAGAAACTATGTCTCCTCTTTCCTCTGGATATGCCCCCAATACTGCGCCCCAATCCTAACATACTGCCTACTCACTGCCCAGTGGTGATTGCCAAACTGTGCTCTCTTTACTCATCTGGCTGGGTCTGACTCTGGTTGGCAACTGAGAACACACCAAGCTTAACAATACCTCCCACAGCCCCCTTGTCTCTTGCCCTCTCACGGAGGCAAGCTGGGGAGAAAGAATCACTTCATTGTGATGGGCTGAGCACGTAGATATTCCTATGGAATTCCGTGCTCAGATCCTGAATGCTAGGGGAACCGAGACTCTGGAGGAGGGGTACTCTAAAAATCAGGACTTCTTTAGCCAGATGTGGCTGTTTTAGACATACGGATCACTTGGGTTCCGGGCCTAAGTTTTGTCTAGGTGCGATCATTGGAGTCAATGCCAGGGGTCTGTCCTTGAGTCCAGTGCCTGGGGACTGTGCTTGGAGTCTGTTTTTGAAGCAGCCCTTGGGTCTGTTTTGGGGTCCAGTGCCTGGTATCTGTTTCAGTGTTGAGTGCCTGAGGTCTGTCCTCGAGTCCTTGACCCCACCTTGGGTGTCCCGTTCTTGGACTCAGTGCCTGAAGTCTGTTACTGGAATCAGTGTCTAAGGACTACTCTTGGGTTCTGTATCGATACATATCTCTGCAGTTTCCTTTCTACACAGTATTTTCTGCCAATGAGACCTGGCCTCTGGAAGCCAGAGAAGCAACATCTCCTAGCAAAAGGAGCTGTTTCTTAGCCAAAAGCCCAGGTGCTTTTCAGTGGGAGAAATTGCTGAGCTGGGCCTGGGGGTGGGGGATCTATTTTCTGGCGGAAGATCAAGTACCTCTGTCAGTGAAGGGTGGGGTGGGGCGGGACGCCCAGGTTACTCACATCCTCCCAAACCCTAAGTGCCTGCAGAATTGGGGGACTAGCCCCATAGACTTGGGCTGAGGCTTTGCATCTCCTTTCTGAGCTCTTAAACCTAAGCAAAGGGGGGGTGGTTCCAGGGATTAGGATCATTGCACCTCCCCCTTCAGTATGCTTCACAGATAGAATGGGGGAGGTGGTTGTTGGTGGGATATAAGGAAGGGAGTTTTATCCTTCCCTTTGCAAACAGTTGATTCCAGGAAGAGTCAGTTCAGCCTTTGAGCAGGGACTGTGCTGTTGGGGCCTGTCTGGGGAAATGGGAAGTTGCTGACAGCCCCAGACACGACCACATTCCTCCCAACATGCCTGCCAGGGACCCTGAGACTCAAGAACTGAGGGAGTGGAGGAGGAAGGGAAGAGACAATGATGGAGGCCCTGGGGGAGAGCAAAGGAGAGGGCCAGTTGGAGGGGTTGTACCCAGTTGCTTTCCATTCTTATGGCTATGAGGATCTGGATTTAGAAGAGTTCAAGAAAGAAATACTCTATCACTGACTCCTGGGTCACTGCCCTGATTTCTGTGGCACAACCACTACATTGGAATTATCCAGGCTCAGCCATGCTAAGGACTGGATGCCGCCTGCCCTAGTGACCGCTTAGCACCTTATAAGTCCCCAGGCTCCTCAAAGGACCCTGCCTTTACTCATTCCTTACTCCCTCTGTACAGTTCTACCCTTTTCTCCAGGTGCTCCGGACTCCTACCATAGTTTCCTTGGCCTCACCTGAAGAGGTCTATACTTTCTACCTATCTGTTTGGTCAGACCAGGTCTATGGGAATGGGATCAAGGTAGTAAGCTAATCTGATAGTATTTTCGGGTTTGCCCTCTCCCACATTAGGGTTAAAGGCAACAGAGCTTCTGTGGGAGATGAGAGATCAATAAACAATGTCTCTAGGGCCAAGAGACAAGAGGCCAAGACTCTCCCCCTAATACTGGCATAGATAGGCTGTTCTATCAAGTGCTCTCTGGGCCTCATTTTCCCTACTTGGGGCTAACAGTCTTGCCTCCTGCCCTGATTTTCCTGGTAACATAGAAGTCACATGAAATCTGGAGCTGTTATTCATTTGTACTCCTAAACTGGATGGCTACCATGGGAATGTCCCTTCTAATACAATGAGACCATGGAAGAAGCTCTGAGAGACCAGAATGGGAGAAGTGGTGTTGGGGGCAGAGGCATTTCTCTTACTTCCCATCACAATGTCATACTAGAGGGCAGAGATACCAAGGACTCATGTTACTGCTGCTCTGTCCCCCTGAAGAAGAGGGCCAGTAGGTCAGCTCCAAAGCCCATGGACACAAACTGCACTGGCCATAGGGACAGTCCCTAAATCCATGAACCAACCACTCCTCCTGAGGGGAAAGAGAGCCTGGTCCCTAAAGGACCCAAGGATGAATGTAATGCCCATTCTCTGGACCTCAGAGGAGACAGAAACCCAGTAGGCAGTAGTGTTTGTATGCTTGAGGCTGGGGTGGTAGTGTTTGGCTTGTTTACTTTGCCCTTTATAGGGACATTGAGTCGTCCCCCTGTGTCCTGGATCAGCTGATCAGCATTTGCCCGACTTCAGGAAGGATGCTCTCTCTCTTCAGGAAGACCCATATAGTTAATTGGAAAATGACAGGTCATTATCTTCATAAGTAGGTCCAGCTGCTGTCTCCACTCCTCTTGGGATATGGAACTGGACTCAGGTTCAAGAATTCTATAGATTCCCAGGAGTTATGGGAAAGTATAGCCTGCAGCCCCATACCTCCACAGTGTGAATCACACCTGGTGGGGTAAGAAAGCCAAAAAAAAAAAAAAGCCAACAAAAAAAAAAAAACCAAAAAAACCAAAAACCACCCCACCCCCCAAACCACTCCAAATTAGCGGTGAGTTTCCAGAAAAGTATGACAGAGACATAAAAGAGGCGGGGCAGTTAAAGGAGCCTGTTGGCGCAGACCTGGGGCTGGGGTGGGGAGGTGGGGTTGGCAGCCAAAGGGAATGGAAAGTGCCCAGCTCCGCCCTCCTGTGAACCTATAAAGAGAAGAACCAGGGTCTCTGAGGCAGCAGCTCTCATCCTCTCTGAGCCTCTCTGAGCACCTTCTGTGAGCTATCTCTGTCTCTCTGAACACTCCACTCTCTCTCTTGATACCATGACTTCCTGCAGCAGACAGTTCACCTCTTCCAGCTCCATGAAGGGCTCTTATGGTCTTGGAGGGGGCTCCAGCCGTGTCTCCATGCTCGGTGGGGGCTCCTGCAGGGCTCCTAGTGCCTATGGGGGCTCAGGCTTTGGGGGCATGTCAGTGACAACCTCCCGCTTCTCCTCTGGGGGAGGCTATGGCCTGGGAGGAGGCTATGGTGGGGGCTTCAGCAGCAGCAGCAGCTTTGGAGGGGCCCTAGGCAGTGGCTTTGGTGGAGGCTATGGAGGTGGAGCTGGTTTTGGTGGGGGCCTGGGTGGTGGTTTTGGTGGTGGCTATGGTGGTGGCTATGGTGGTATGGATGGCCTCCTGGCTGGTGGGGAGAAGGTGACCATGCAGAACCTCAATGACCGCCTGGCCAGCTACCTGGACAAGGTGAGGGCCCTGGAGGAGGCCAACACTGACCTGGAGGTGAAGATCCGGGACTGGTACCAGAGGCAGAGGCCGACTGAAGAGAGAGACTACAGCCCTTACTTCAAGACCATTGAGGATCTCAAGAACAAGGTAGGCCCCAGGCAGAGGATAATCAGAACAGGGCATTCACACTTGGTCCCTTTGGGAGCTACAGCCTTGGGTCATACTCAGCTCTAGAGTTTCAGCCGAGATGTCTCTTGTTTAACTTAGGAACCAAGCCACCCCAAAACTTGATCAATTCCTGGTGCACTAGGAAGGCTCATATGACAGTGAAAATAGTGCTGGATTTGTATTCAGATGACCTGGCTTCCAATCCTGGCTTGGCTACTTCTATTTGTGTGACTTTGAGCAAGTCACTTCAACTCTGTGAGCCTCAGTTTACCCATCTGTAAATTGAGGAGATTGGGCTTGATAACCTCTATGTCCCCTTTCAGCCCTAAATCTATCAGCAAAAACTTTAGCTCCTTTCTGATAGTGCATCTTGTAAAGAGGAAAAGGAAACGGAACCAGAATAAGAGTAGAAAAGAGCCTGTATAGTTCTGCCATATCCAAGACACAGGGTAGTAACGGGATCAAGAGAGACACCTAAATTGCTCATTAGTTCATTCACTTAATCTGGCAGGCACTGCCCAAAGTCTTGGTACATTCCACCAACAGGCAGGCATAGCACCAATAGTGCTGTCTCTTAGATCTGGGGAGGAGACAGAGGTGAACCGCAGACAGCAGCAGAAAGAGCTGCCTATTCCCCTCCCCCCCCTTACAGTCCTCTTTCCCTGCCCCCCCCACCCAGATCTCACCTGCCCTAGTGCTACACTGTCTGTCTCAACTCTGTGGAATCCTCTGAGACTTAGGTCTCCCTGTAGGACTCAGCTCTGTGTGTGTGTGTGTGTGTGTGTGTGTGTGTGCGTGCGCGCGCATGATGGTGGTGGTGGGAGAGGTTTGAATCTCCTGTTATATCTGCCAAAGCTTAGGGGCAACAATTGCCATACCCAAGTTTTGTTCAATTTTCTTCTGTCCCTGACTTCTCTCTTGGAATACCCTCCCCAAATGGGCTCTCTTCTCTAAGTCTGTCATGTGCTTTTCCTCACCCTTCTCCCCAGCCTTGGATTCAATACAGTTAAATTTAATGCAGCAAGCACTTAATAAGTACCTACTATGTGTCAGGTGCTATGATAGATCCTGAAGACGCAAAAACAAAAACAAAAAAACCAAACAAACAAACCAGAAACAGTCCCTGTCCTCAAGGAGCTTACCTTCTGTTGGGAATGGTTGGTTTCAAAATCCAGGCTCAGTTCACTTGGAAAATGAGGACGTGAAGGCTGCCAAGTCCTGGAACAATGAACAGAATTGGTTGCCTGGAAAAGTGCCTTTGGTTCCTTGGGGTATAGGCCCCAGGGAATTTGGGATAGGGAAGGGAAAACTCTGACAAGATGCATGAGAAGGAGATATGTGTAGTGCTGACCTCTGTGAATGTGTGATTAATGACACTTGGTCTCTATACCAGATCCTTGAAGCTCGTGTGGAAAACGCCAGAATTCTCCTGCAGGTCGACAATGCCCGCCTGGCTGCTGATGACTTCAGGACCAAGTAAGTCCATCTATAGCAAACATGGAAAATCCATCCTTATCACAGTAGAGGCTCTAAATTCTGTAGAGGCAGGAGACTGTAAACTCCACGAGGGAAGAGATTGTGTCATATTATCTTTATCCCCCAAACCTAACTTAGATGAATTAAGCCATGAATAAACTCCCCACTCTTGAGAGTCTATGTGGAAGTGGGATAATCATTTTCAGGGACCTGGTTTAAGTCATCTTTGGCACATACTGGCTGTGTGACCCAGGGCAAATCACAACCTCTCAGTGTTCCAAGGAACTCTCTAAGACCATAAGTTACAGAGAAAATGCCTACTTGCATTAGTAGAGAGGCTCCTCACTTGGGAGTTCCTATAACACTGAAATCATAGGTATAGTCCTTATCCTCATCCCTTTCAAGAGAGAAAAATCAGGAATCTGGTTAAAGTTGTAACTACCACAGAACCTCCCACCTCAGGTCATCAAGCACACAGACCTGTCTGAATTATCAATAGGCCTCTTTATCCACCCACTTGTTTCTAGGCTGATGATTCATTCCCCTAACCATTTGCCATAAGGAGCCTAGGGTGGGAATGCTAGAATGTGGGAAAGGATAGGGGACAATGTACACATCGTGGCTAGGTGAGGGGTTTCATTGCTTCTTTCTTGGAACACCACAGGTACGAGACTGAGCTGAACTTGCGTATGAGTGTGGAGGCTGACATCAATGGCCTGCGCAGGGTGCTGGATGAGTTGACTCTGGCCAGGGCTGACCTGGAAATGCAGATTGAGAACCTGAAGGAGGAGCTGGCCTACCTCAGGAAGAACCATGAGGAGGTGAGAATTAAGGCAGCAAGCTGCAGGAAATTCTTAAATCAGCCTGCTACAGCTTCAGGACAACCTGTCTGAATTTTTCTTAGTTCATTTTCATGTGTATAAGTGAGGGAGGGCTGTTAGTCATTAAGACTCTCTGAGTAAGGGCAGCTAGGTGGCACAGAGGATAGAGCACTAGGCTTGACATCAGGAGGATCTGAGTTCATATCCAGTCTCAGACACTGACTAGTTGTGTAATCTTGGGCAAGTCACCCCTAATTGCCTCAAAAAAAAAGACTCTGAATAGCACATGATTCTAGATCCAGAGCTGAAAGGGACCTCAGGAAGCCATTTCATCCATTTGAGGAAACTGAGGCCCATGAAGTATGACAGACTTGCCTAAGGTCATGTGGGTAGCAAATATAAGATTTGGACCCAGGATTTGAACCCAGGACTCCTAAGGAGACAATGCTCTCTCCACTGGACTGTTCTGCCTCTGGATAGGGAGATTTTGAGGGAACATGCGAATTTGAGGTGGTGGGAAGGAAGTAATCAGGGCAGAGAGATGGTGTCCCCAGACCATAAGGGAAGTTGCACTGAGAGCTATCTGTAGACTTGTGATTTCAGGCTGTTTCTTTACCTATAGGAAATGAATGCTCTGAGAGGCCAAGTGGGTGGAGATGTCAATGTGGAGATGGATGCAGCACCTGGTGTGGACTTGAGCCGAACCCTGGCTGAGATGCGAGAGCAGTATGAGAAGATGGCAGAAAAGAACCGCAAGGATGCTGAGGACTGGTTCTTCAGCAAGGTGGGTGTGGCTGGGGTGACTTGGGGGGAGGACCAAAGACTCTTCCCTTGAATGACATGTCCTAGAGAAAGTATCATTTTCCTTTATTTCAGACTGAAGAGCTGAACCGGGAAGTAGCCTCCAACAGTGAGATGGTGCAGAGTGGGAAGAGTGAGATCTCTGAGCTCCGACGCAGCATTCAGAGCCTTGAGATTGAACTGCAGTCACAGCTCAGCATGGTAGGTGAATTGGGGACCTGGGTCTGAGGGCTGCAACTAGTGGGTGAATCCAGCATCCAAAAGGAGGGTGAGTGGCCACCCTCAGTAACCAGACTTGTCTTTTTCCATCCACAGAAAGCCTCTTTGGAGAACAGCTTGGAGGAGACCAAAGGCCGTTACTGTCTTCAGCTGTCCCAGATCCAGGGGCTCATCAGCAACGTTGAGGAACAGCTAGCTCAGCTCCGTTGTGAGATGGAGCAGCAGAATCAAGAATACAAGATCCTTCTGGATGTGAAGACCCGTCTGGAGCAGGAGATTGCCACCTACCGCCAGCTGCTGGAGGGAGAGGATGCCCAGTGAGTGATCCAAGTCTCCCTCTCACCCCTAGGCTGGTGCTCCAATGACACACGCTTGCTCATCTTTCATCCCTGTTCATTCATGATACCATGTATCTAATGGTTCTCTTTTTTCTTTTCATTGCAGCCTTGCTTCCCAATTTTCATCTAACTCTCAATCCTCCAGAGATGGTAAGATGTAAGATTAATTTGCCTCTCTCTAGGGGGACTTGTATTCCTTTTCTTCTTTGTAAAGGATGTCAGTAAGACAACTAATGGGGTTGGGACACAGATTAGGAGTGTCTTAAGGTTCAGCTTTGCCTTTCTGGATGCTACAAGACCTGCCTCCTACAGTTTGGTGACCCTCCATTTTCTAGGAAGGACACCCTTCCATTTTCTGAGACTTGGTAATCATTTTAGACCTCATATAGAAGAAGATATTATTTCCTAAATGACCTTCTGATGGTCAGGAAGGAGGGGGCAATCCTATGTTCCTTGAAAGGATCAGTGGGCCAGATCATCAGCACCACGGACAGAGCATGATTTTCATTCCTTCCCCCCCCACCAAAAAACGAAACAAAACAAAAAACCACAAAGCCCTATGTTAGATACTGAAAAGGGTATATTCACTGCCCTCAGGGAAAGCTGAGTCTGGTCAGAGAGATAGAATGGACAATTAGAAACGTCAATGTGTAGTACCTTTAAAAAGATGATAGAGAATTGATTTTGTCAATGGTAAGGTAGGTAGGAGAGAGTTAAGGGAGGAAAAAAAGAAGAGATGGGAATGAAACAGGAAGAAGGGAGATTTGTCAGGGGCACTAAACTTGGTTTCCCTACTTCTGATTTCCAAGATACCCATTGGCCATTCCAAAATACCCTAGCCATTTCCCCTAAATGCATGCTTCTCCTCTCCTTTTAAAAAATGTTTTATTGATGCTTTTATTTTATGTTGTTATCATTACCCGATACTGCCCTCGCCCAATAGGGCATTCCCTTATAACCAAGAAGTATACTTAAGTAAAAGAAATCAGTACATTGTCCATTTCTGACAATGTATACTACATTCCATATTTGTAGTCCACTACCTCCCTGGAAGGAGAGGGAGGCATGCTTTATCATCAGTCTTCTGTAGTCATGGTTGGCCGCTTCTGTGATAAGCATTTTTTCCTTCTCTCTTTCTACCTCTGCAGTGACCTCCACTAGCCGTCAGGTGTACACCAAAGTATTAGATGTCCACGACGGCAAGGTGGTATCCAGCCACGAGCAGGTCCTTCGCAGCAAGAACTGAATTCTCCATGCTGACCAGACCAGAGAGGCCCACAGCCTGCACTCAGACCTGCTTCATCCCCTGCCAGACTGGGCAGTGGACAATGGCCACCAAGTTTAATTCACCTCCAGCTTGCTCTCCCTCATTTCCCAAGTGCGGGGCTGCCCTCTGACTTTGGGCAAACCAATAAAGCTTTTTTTTCTTGATGCAAACTCCTGCCTTCTCCTGATTATTGGTAATGCAATGAGAGGGGCTGGGGAAGGGCTGAAATGATAGATAACAGAAAGCTGAAGTGAAGGATAACCTTGGAACTCTCACTTTACTGGTGTGGAAGAAAGAGTCCAGGAGGCAGGGGGTACAGGGAGGTGGAGGATTCTCCCTAGCTAAATGGCACAAAGGATAGAGTGCTCAACTTGGAGTCAGGAAAACCTGAGTTCAAATCTAGAATTCTCCTACTTCTTTTTTTTTAAATATCTTTTTATTTCATTATTTCCCAATTACATTTTAAAAAAATTTAACATTTAAAAAATTTTGAGTTCCAAATTCTCTCCCTCCCTCCCCCACCCCTTGAGAAGGAAAACAATTTAATATTAATATACACATGAAGCCATGCCAAACATACTTCCATATTAGCCATATTGCAAAAGAAAACACACACACATACACACATATACACACACAACCCAAGAAAAATAAAGGAAGTGAAAAAAGTATGCTTCAAATCATACTCAGAGTTCATCAATTCTCTCCCTAGAGGGGGATAGTATTTTTCATCATAGGTCCTTTGGAAATTCCACTACATTCTCACCCAGAATTCCCTATGCTACCCAAGCCAGAAAGTCCCACAACCTTCTGTCAGACCTGCTCCACACCCTGTAAGGCTAGGTGCTGGAAAATAATGGCCACCACATTTAATTTGCCTCCAGCTTGCCCTCCCCTATTTCTAACTGCATGTCCTAACTGTGTAACCCTGGGTAAGTCACTTAATCTTTCTCAGCCTCAGTTTCCTCATCTGTAAAATGAGGACAATGATAGCGGTGTCACAGAGTTAGTGTGAGGATCATGAGAAAATAAATGTAAAGCGCTTTGTAAACCTTAAAGTTCTATATAAATGTTAGGTATTACTATAGTTATTAATTTACCTACTAGTTTCCAGAAGCCAGCATCTTTGCTTGGGGATATGAGTCTTTTCTCCGCGTCGAGAACATAGCAGGAGCTTGAGCCCTCCTACGTTCTACTCTGTTTGAAGGGATGGGCCTGGTCAGCCATAGGAAGTAAGTTTTCATCTTTTTGTGTATGGTGAGTATGGGGGTGTTATATGAGATGTTTGTTCAGGGAGGGTTAAAAACAGGTTCAAGTAGTATATTCTAGAAAAGTAGTTTCCAAAGGGACTGTCTTGGACCTCCAGGAGAGGAAAATAATATTTATGAGATTTTATTACTAAATTACATAATTAAAAACATTAAATATTAATTTTAAACGAAAACTAATTTAATATTTATGGAATATCTTAAGAGTAATCTGTGGTGAAGTGAAGAGAAGGTTGAGCTTTAGGAAGTCCAGAGTTCAAGTGCAATTTCAGGCACTTACTTGCTGTGTGACTTTGGGCAAGTCACTTAACCTTTCTGGGTCTTAATTTCCCAATCTATACAGCAAGGGGGTTGGGCGAGAATGTCCCTTTTAGCTCTATATCTATGATCCTTTGACCTATGATTAGTTAAGATGTTCAATAATCTGATAGGGAGTATAGAACTCTAGATATCATCTCTACTAGTATCTCTCAAACCATTTTGAACCATGGATCACTTTGGGGCTTAAATATTTTGATGAATCATACAAATGTTGGTCCAGGGAGTCTGGAAGTATGAAACTTCTCTAGGATGTGAAGGGAACAGGGAATGTTTTGGAGAAAAGTCAAGCAAATGATGTCTTCTTATACTGAAAAAATATCACATTAATATATATTGTTGATCCACACACAATTTCATATTTAATATGAATGTCTAGAAAAAGCCATTTATGTTCATTGACTTAAATTTCTCTCTGCACTCTTGCTTCTCAATTCATTCTAATCTGACTTCTGAACTCATCATGGAACTGAAACTGATTGGATTCCAGCTTGGCATTTCAGATTGTCTTTACATAACCTCACCTCATCCCTTCCATGTCCCAGCTGAACTGGCCCCTGTGCTACTCTCCATATCTGACAGCCAATCTCTAAGCTTTGTGCCTTTGCATGAGTTGTACCTCCCACCCCTGGACTGCTTCCTCACCTCCTCTACCTCTTAGAATCTCTATCTTTCTTCAAGGGCTCAGCTCAAGTGCACCTCTTACGTGAAGCCTCTCCTGACTGCCCCCCCATCTGTCTATCCATCCATCTATCGCTTTCTTATCTCTCCCAGCTCTCTCTCTTTCATCTGTCCATTTATCTAGCTAGCTTTCTAGCCCTCTTTTTCATCTTTCTCTCATTAATCTTTCTTATACCAGTCTCAGCTCTCCCTTTCTCTTTCTCATCTATCTATCCATCCATCTACCTCTCTCTCACAAATCTCTTAGTTCTCTCTCATCTATCTATATATCTCAGCTCTCTCATCTATCTGTCTACCTCTTTCATATATTTCTCATATGTCCATCAATCCATCCATCCATCCATCCATCCATCCATCCATCTATCTCTTTCATATCTCTCCCAGCTCTCTTTCTCTCTTTCATCTATCTATCCATCCATCTAGCTAGCTTTCTGTCTCTCTTTTTCATCTCTCTTTCATTTATTTATTTTTTAAAATTTCCAAACTACTTCCTGCCAGACAATTCAATTCAACCACAAACCTGTATTAAAAAAACTACTATGTGCAAGAAATTGTGCTGGGATTTGAGGGTGCAAAGATAAAAAATGACCAGTCCCTAAGCTCAAGGAGCTTATACCACCTACCAAACAGGTGTGATGCACAGTAGAATAGGAGAGAGGCAAAGGAAACCTGAGGAGCCTCACTGGAAAGACTTTACAGAGAGGTTGGTGCCTGAGCTGGAACTCAGAGGAAGTTTAATAGACAGAGCTATGGAGGGAGTGCTCTCTCCAGGCACAGGAATGGCCTTCACGAATACAGAGTCAGGAAAAAGCATCAGGAACAGTTGGTGTTCTAAATTGGCTGGAACAGAATGCATGAAGGTGAGTTGTTTTAGTTGTGTCTGACTCTCCATGACCCCTGGAAAAGATATTGCAGTGGTTTGCCATTTCCTTCTCCAGCTCATTTTACAGATGAGGAAACTGAAGCAAATAAGGTTAAGTGACTTGCCCAGGGTCACACAGCTAGTAAGTATCTGAGTTCAGATTTTAACTCAGATCCTCCTAACTCTAGGCTTAGCACTCTATACACTGTACCACCTAGATGCCCATGAAGCTGAGTACAATGAAATAAATTCCGCAAAGAGAGGTGAGAATAACACACCATAGAGGGCCTTAAATTCCAGAGTAAGGAGGTTGTATTTTAGCCTAGCAGTAACATGATTGGACCTGTGTATTAGGATAATTACTTTAGCGTTGGTATGAAGGAGGAACTGGGAGAAGGGAGAAAGTTGAGACAGGGAGATGAGCTTCACCTCTCTCAGTCTCGGTTTCCTCATCTGTAAAATGGGGATAATAAACACTACCTATCTCATAGTTTGAGGGTGCTAACTTGGGCAAAGTTTTGTAAATTTAAAGCACCATATAAATGTTAGCTATTATTATGAGGGCTGAAACTAAAATGGTGGCAATGGGAGTGAAAGGAAGAAGTAAGGATGCACATGAGAGATATAGTAGAGGTAAAAATCTTAGGCCCACCTAAGGATTGATCCTCAGTGCTGCAAAGCGTCATCCCAGAACTAAGGAAAGGAGCTGGGCTGCCTTAAGAAGCAATCAAAAGGTAGTTCTCATTTTCACTTACTGTTCTCCATAGTTAATAATGATGTCTTGATTGCCAAATTTAATGGCCTTTTCTCAAAACTCATGCCTCTTGACCTTTCTGCAGAGGCTGACACTGTCAATCACCCTCTTCTCAGTGAAATTCTCTTTTTTCTAGTTTTTGTGACAGTGCTTTCTCCTGGTTCTCTTCCTATCTGTCCAGCTGCTCAGTTTCCTTGGCTGGATTTTCATCCAGGTGGTGCTTGCCAACCATGGGTGTCCCCCAAGGTTCTGTCCTAGGCCCTCTTCTCTTTTACATACCTAGCCCTAACTTCTCTCCTGAGCTCTAGTCTCACATCACCAACTGCCTCTTGGAATTAGACATATCTGAAACAGAACTCATTATCTTTCCCCCCAAACCGTTCCACAAAACCTTCGCAAAGGCAGCTGGTGGTACAATAGATAGAACTCTGGGCCTAGAATCAAGAAGACCTGAGTTCAAATCCAGCCTCAGACCCTTACTAGCTAGTCACTTAACCTTTGTTCACCTCAATTTCCTCAACTGTAAAATGGAGATAATAATAGCACCTACCTCACAGGGTTTTTGTAAGGATCAAATGAGATATTTGTAAAAAGAGCTTAGCACAATGCCTGGCATATGGTAGGTGCTATATAAATGTTAATTCTTTCTTGTTACAGGTCCAAGCTCAGGTACCAACCTCTCTGTAAAGCCTTTGCAGTGAGCATCCCCCTCTTCAGGTTTCTTTTGCCTCTCTCCTATTCTACTGTGCATCATACCTATTTGTGTAGGTCAGTGGTGGGAAACCTGCATCCTCGAGGCCACATATAGCCTTCTAGGTCCTCAAGTGTGGCCCTTTGACTGAATCCAAACTTCACAGAATGAATCCAAACTTCATAGAACAAATCCCCTTAATAAAAGGAGTTAAGAGGTAAGATTTTAAGTCTTAAAATTTTTTTAAACTCATTTTAAACTTAAATACAAATGAGAAAAGAAAAAAAGAACAAGTCTTAATCAATTTAATTAATCAATTAACCAATCAATTTGCCTTGTTTCTGTTCTGGCAAGCTGAGTAAATGTGAACATGTCTCTGTACCTCAGTTTCCTGTCTATAGAATGAAGTCCTATCTAACTGGGGGGGAGGTGGCTATGGCATTGTACTCTTTGGCACATATGCTCAAGGTCCATCATATACCCAAGGATAAGGCTAGGTGATGAACTAGAGCAGTTTTATGGTGCTGCTGGGAAGCATGAGTGAGCATGGGAGAGACTCCCTCCCTTCTTCCACTTCTAGCATCCTTCAGAGGCTT